TCGTAAAAGTATTGAGCTTGTGCTGCTAGATCAGGAAAAGCACTTACCATTTTGTAACGAGTAGGGTTTTACTGGGTACTTATTTCTTTCTCCCTGAGGCAAAGTTGAAAAATGGTGGAGCCACCCCACTCTGGGGATCATCTGTGTGCTTGGCTAAACAGTTTTTACTTCCTTGAAGCTTTTGGAAGCTTCAAGTCATGGTGCCTTTCTTTGGGCCCACTGGCCAATGAGAAGCTGAAGTTCAGCTTACAACACAGCTGCTTTTCCCCCAGTTACCAGAAGTATGTGAATGTCAGAGACCCTTTATCTTCTCTATGGCCTGTTCTCTTAGCATAGAAAGCAGTGTGTGGCCAAGAAGGCCACACTACCTGACCAACAAGAAAAAGCTACTTGTGGAGATAGCAAACAGAATATGGTATAAGGGTATTAATAGTCTTTCTTCTTTTTCTTTTTTTTTAAAATTGGGTGATATATATTTATTTTCTTATGTTATATGTATGGGTGTTTTGCCTGAATGTAAGTCTATGCACCACAGGTGCACAATGACCACAGAAGCCAGAAGAGAGCATCATGTCCCCGGTACTGGAATTACAGAGGGTTGTGAACCACCATGTGGGTGCTGGGAGCTGGGCCCTGGGCTTCTAGAAGTGCAACCAGTGATCTTAACCATTGAGCAGTCTCTACAGCCCCAGGGTCTGGGGGTTTTATTGTTGTTTGTTTGTTTTTGTTTTTGTGACAGGGTTTCTCTTTGTAGCCCTGATTTGTCCTGGAACTTGTTCTGTAGACCAAGGTGGCCTCAAACTCACAGAGATCTGCCTCTGCCTCCTGTGTGCTGGGATTAAATGCTACACCACCATGCCCTGTAGAACCAAAATTCTTAAAGGCATAAAATCTGGGTTGAACCAGAGACAGGAGCAGAATGACTCCCTTTGACAACCTTTAAACCTCTTAGTTTAGAAATATATCTGGAATCTGAAGTGATCAACCACCCAGATGACAGAAGCACACGTAGGAAGTGTTCAGAGCCACACAGCTCAACAGACCCTGCGCTCGCTGTTTCTTTTCCCTGGTCAATATTTGTTAAATTTACAGATTTTCATGTTTATAACGATGAACCAGACACTATTTTCCCCAATGACTTCTGAAGGTTGCAAAAAAAAAAAAAAAATGGAGGGTAAAACCAGAGTAAATGTTCCCTGAAGAGCACAGGGAACATCAAGAGAGTAAAGGCATTGTGCCCCTTTGGCATCTATTTTTAAAGGGTTCAGCCTCTCTCTCTCTCTCTCTCTCTCTCTCTCTCTCTCTCTCTCTCTCTCTGTGTGTGTGTGTGTATATGTGTATATATACATATATATTTATATTTATATACACACACACATACTTCTTTGAGGACATCATATGTGAGATTTTAAATTTTATTTAAGAATGTGCGCATCCATGGATCTGAAGAGATGACTCAGCTGTTGGGAGCACCGGCTGCTCTTCCAAAGGACACAGATTCAACGTCTAGCATCCACATGGTGATTAACAATCATTAATAACTCCAGTTCCAGGGCGTCCAGTATCCTCTTCAGGTCTCTGTGGGCACCCAGGGATGCGCGTGGTGTATAAACATACATGGAGGCAAAACAGTCATACACATAAAAGAAATCTTTTAGAAAAGGCAACAAAAACATGCAGAGCGAAGTCTCCCCAGCTCAAGCCAGCCAGAGTTACCACTGTTTCTTAGGAATCCATCACACTGTAGCTCAGAGCTCTGGAGAAATTATCCCAAACACACAGCAGAGTGCAGCATGCTCTCAACTGTTCTTGAGGGCACACATTAAAACTCATCTCGCTCAGCACTGCACTGCTTTCTGAAGGTCTTTTGCTGGCACTGAATTTCGTTGTATCACAGAGAAAATATGTGTCAGATGAACATCAAGAGCCCTGCCACCCACTCACCCCAGAGGATTAAGAAGATAACATTTATAAATTCCTGAGAGGCTCAGAGGAAGGCTCAGAATAAACAATAACAGTTGTTACAGGCTAACCCTCTGCTCTGTAATCCGCATTCGATTGCTCTGCCCTCACCTGCATGCCTGTGCACCCTTGCCCTCACTCCCTGGCATAGTCTGAGGATGGGAGGTTAGTAAGAAAGGGTGCTGGTTAGTGGAACAGAGTGTTTTGAGTTTTAGGTTTTGTTTGCCTTAAGTTTCCTAGCTCCTGGACTCTGTAAGGAACCTGGAGATTTTTCCAAAACAAAACAAAAAAGCCCAACAACAAACAACAGTAACAACAACAAAAAAAGAAAACCCAGAAATATTTATTTCTATCACGTTACAGTGAATTTAATAAGTCAAATAGTTTGTTCATTTAAAAGCAGAATATTCTATTTAATTAATTTATTTATTTGAGACAGTATCTCATTATGTAACGCTGTCTGACCTGGAGATCTCTATGTAGACCAGGTTGGCCTGGAACTCACAGAGATCCACCTGTTTTTGCTTCTCAAGGGCTGGGATGAAAGGCATGGCCAGGCCTGATGTCCCTGTTTTGAGTGTGGGCATTGGTGTGGCACGGTTATCTGGAAATTACAGAGGCTCTTACGTGGAGGCTTCATACTCAGTCATGTAGGCAAGCCGCCTGTGCCTTTAGAAGGGCTAACTATGCTCTAGAAACAAACGGGAGACCACAGACGCCCTAAGGTGCTGCCTAAGGTGGTGGTAAAAGGCCAAATTTAGAGGGGAAAGAGATTGAAGTCAGAACTGAATATACACTTGGCGGCTTGAAGGGAAGTAGTCTGACATTTCTTCAGTTTTGTCCAAGGCCTTAGAAATAAGTTGGGAGACCTCTTTAAGAGAGAAAAGGTCTTAAGCAAAGATTTTAGGGAAAAAAATAAAAGACTGTATGTGGTAAGGGACATTCATAAAAAAGATGGAAATTGATATACTCCTTTGATTTTAAAATATCTAATGTTTGGGCTTGAGAGACGGCTCCGTGGTTAAGGGCACTTGCTCCTGCAGAGGACTCAGGTTAGATTCTCAGTGCCCACGTTTCAGCTCACAACCTTCTCTAGCCAGTGTCAGCGAATCAGAAACTCTCTCTGACTTCCTTAGGCACCAGAATCTACATATTACATAGGCATGCATGCAGGCAAAACACTCATACACATTAAATAAATAATAAATTTAATGAAAAATGGAACTTTTATTTGGGTAGAATGCTAAATAGTGGTTCAAACTGACTGGCCAATCTTCAAAACAACGACCACCATGTTTCTTCCCAGCTCAAGAGCACTGCCTATAAGTAGTGTTCAGAGTCTGTGCTTTCTTCTCCTTGGTCACATACAAGCACTAACCTTCTGGCTCCAGCACTTCCAGCAATTAACGACTGACTGAAATTGACAGTCCGGACAAAGCCTTGGTTTCAGCTACTGTTCCCAACTGGTCACTGATGTTAGAATTTGGTCTTTAACCTGTAACTAGGGTGCAAGAAAACACTCTTTTTTTAAATAGTATCACTAAAAAGAATGGTACGACTGAGAGGATGAAGCAGGAGGATTGCCATGAATTCAAGGCCATCTTGTGCTATTTAGAAAGACTTGTCTAAAAAAAGTTTATACCATTGTTTTATACAATGGTATATGTATATGTATGAATATGTATATATGTATATATCTCAATGTATGTATATTTTATGTTTATGTATGAAACAGTAAAAACTGTTCCTTTGAAAATGTACATGTGTGTGCAAGGTAGTGAAGCAGCTGATCATGCTCAGCCAAGAGTGAGTCTCAAGCCAGTCTAGGCTACAAGTGCCTTCATCTCAAGAAGAAAAAAAATCGTGTACTGACTTTTTGGAACCCATTGTCTTTGGAGGGATACCCAGCTCAGCCTAGGTATAGTGGGGAGGGCCTTGGTCCTTCCTCAAAGCAATGTGCTAGACTTTGTTGACTCCCCATGGGAAGCCTTACCCTCTCTCAGGAGTGGATGTACAGTGGGAAGGAGGAAGGGGGAGGGAGCAGGACGAGGGGAGGGAGTGGGAACTGGGATCAGTATGTAAAATGAGAAAAGATAGTTATTTTCCTAAAAATATAAATTTAAAAAATAGGAAAAAAGACTATAATAAAGCTAAAACTTTTCTGTCAAAAAAAGAAAAAAATCTATTACTAAGCTCTGGGTTGATAAGATGTTTTTACTGGCCTAGAGCAAAGGGGGTATGAATTCACTTCAAAAAATAAGTCTTTATTTTGGCTTATCAGTGCTAGTTTATTTAAAAAGCAAGAATAAAAACTGGACAGTTGGTGGGTTTGCCCCCAAAAGTGGGCTGCGAGTTTCTCTTGCTCCTCTAAGGACTGACCATGAAGACTGGCTGAGGAACTTCAGGCTGGCTTATTACTCTATCCCAGATCATACTTTGATTTAGGGATTTTCAGAAGGAATGCTGGGATGCCTTTATAGATCATTACATTACTGGCTCTACTCCTGAGTTCACAAAACTTGATTCACCAGCACTTTAGAGTCTCGGTGGATGGAAGGGCTTCCGTTATGTGGGAAGGCCTGTTGGGGTTTTCGCCTGCTGCTTCCGACTTAGGGCTCCCTCATTGCATCACACCCATTAATCACAGCATTATCCAGTAACCGATCACATATCCTGTCTTTCAGATCCTCATTAATCTACTGGTGAAGCTATGAGCACTATTAACATGGTTCCATTAGAATGACTTCCTGAAGCAAAGTGTATCCATTATCAGTGCCAAGCAGCCCCTGAACCAGGTGTCCCCTGCAGACCGAGGATGTTTCTGAAATGCCAACTTTGGCAGAGACGCTTGCCTTATACTCTACTACCATGGAATGTTCACTTTATTTACTGCTTTATAAATCACTTTAGCGGGAGAAAGTGTCACCGAGCAGGATCAAGTCTGCATCTGCCCTTGTTCACACTTGGCCAGCTTCCATTGTAACGCAGGGCCAGCCTTGGCGGGAGAGTGTGTGAGTGCTTCCCAGAGTGCGGTCACCAGTCTAAGCAGGAGAGCTGAAGTTCCTCCCAGTCCACACCAGTTATTAATTCCTGAACACTTGCCGTGGATACAAACGCTCCTTGCCTGACGGATGGTGAGGATGGGAGCACATCAAGTCTCTGGCCATAGCCGTGTCCATGAACCTCGTCCATTCCCACGGAGACCCCACTGCAATTCTGCAGGACACGTCATGCGATCGCCATTCCATATGTGCCTGAAGTTCCTGACGCTCTCATGGAGGCCTGCTGTATTGTAGGTTTCTGGAGGGTGGGGCGTTCTTTCCGGACATTACAAAGAGAAGCTCTGAGTGTGCCGCTTAATTGTGGAGATGAATTTCCTACATTTGTGACTGCAGTTGGCAACTACTTTTTGCATTCTGTCCTTTACAGCTGATACGTAGATTTAAGCAAGAAGTTTCTTACTAGAAGACATAAGATGAAAAAAACTTATGGTATGTATGGTATAGTTTGATCATAAGATACTCATAAGATGAGGCCAGTGAGATGGCTAAGCAGGGAGAAGTATTTACCTGTGTCAAGCCTTACGGACCTGAGTTCAATCCCTGGGCTCACATGGTGGAGAGACCTACTCCTGCAAGTTGTTGCTGGACCTCCACAGTGTGCCATAGCATGTGTGTTCTCCCCCAGTAAAATGTAATAGAAACATCCGAAGATACTGTTAAAGAATTTTACAAGAAAATATGTTCCTAAGAGATAAATATAAGTCATTGGATGTATTGGATGTTTGCTTTAAATGTCACATAGATAAGACAAAATCCAAAGATAAACCAAATGCTGGCACTCTGACCTGAGGCTGTGCAGTCCCAGTTGTTCAGGAGCTTGAGGCAGAACTGATTAAATCTCGGAGTGTGAGAGCAGTCTGGGCAGCATGGTGAAACACCCACCTAAAAAACACCAGCAGAGATCAACTTAAACGAAAGCTTAAGTTTTCTTAAAAGACGAAAGATTAGGAATTAGTGGCTTGTGAGCAAAGGACTGCCCGTGCTGCCCAACAGAGCCACCTCATCTATGAGTCGGAGGCTGATTTCCGCGTCAGATTTTACATTTAGGACATCATGAAGACAAAGGCCTGGAGGTGAAGGAAGTCTCTTTGTTTTAGACAGCCACGTCTCAAAGCTTTCCTTCCACGGTGCTCTCAGAGAGCACATGGAGTTTCAAGGTCCGGTCAGGGGTTCAGGTCTGTGGATTTATAGTTGATTCAAGCAAAGAGGTCAGGAGGTAATGTGTCAACATTACATGAAAAGGCAGGCCTTTGTTGAGAGCTCTGGCAGCTACATGTAGCTTTGCAGCTCAGAAGTGTGCTTCTCCAGTCTGTAAGGTATGGAAAGCTCAGAATTCAAAAGATACCGCAGAGAGTGTATGGATGATCAGAAATCAGCCCACTGAAGTTTAGTGCAAATAAATAAAAGCAGAAATGTGCGATGAGGTTCAGAAATCACACAGGAAAGAAATCACACAACCTGGATTACTTTACATGGGGCACACACACACACACACACATACACACACACACACACTAGTGGGTGTTGTAGTTGATTTCCAGTAGAGGCAAGTGTAAGCTGAAGAAGGAACTCGCTAATGAGATCTGCATTTATATGGCGTCCAGATCAAGGAAAATAATCTTCTAATAGGTGCTCGCCAGTCAGTCCACATCTGGAGTTGTGATCTGCATGACACTCTGGGGAGGCCTGGCTGGCTGAGGGTAATGGAGAACAGGCAGAGGTCAGCAATGAGGGAGGTCGAGGGATGACTGGGGGGGGGTGCAGAGGGAAGCAGCTAATGAAAATCTAAGTCTTTGAAAGCTGGGAGCGTCCCTTAGCAGCCCAGGCTTAGGTCTTCCAGGCAGAAGGCAGACTACAGAAAGGAACTGAGAGAAGATTTGAAACTTAAGAAACCCACTGCTGGGTCCTTTTCTGACTCCAACAAAGGCAGAGACCTGCTGTGGTAGCAAAGCTTACAAGTGAGTGGCTTGAGCCAGGCAGAAGCTGGCATGGATTTCCAATAGGCTTGTGGAGAGTTTCCAACCAAATGACATTGCCTCTGGTTCCAATTGCCTGTTTAACAAATACTTTGTTTCCTTGTTGTTTAGACTCGGGGAAATGCTGGAATGGTCGTGAGCTTTATTAAGGTGTAAATTCAAATGTTGTTTGCACTCTTCACTCATTGGGAGTGTTGGATGTAGCTGGTTTTCCTGTATCAGTGATGTGTGCTGTTCACCATTGAATTCTACTACTTTTTACCAAACCCAAAGATACCCATTGTTTACAACACCACCATTCTCTTTATCTCAGCCCCGGTGAGTAATTACTAGTTTCCTATTTTAGTGAATTTACCTTTTCTGGACGTTCCACATAAATTCATCGACACACTGTGTGGCCTTTTAAGAGCCTTTTCTTTCATTTATCATAATACTTCAAGGTTAATCCATGCTGTATAGCACGTTATTAGCACTTCAATCCTTTTTATAGATCAGTGATATTTTATTGTATAGACATTCTCCATGGATGTTTGAGTTGTTTGCATATTTCTATTATTAATAATGCTGCTTTGGAAACTCATGTAAAGTTTTGCTGGACAGGTGGCTTTTCTTTCTCTTCTTTTTCTTTTTGATGCAGTGTCCAGTTGTGTAGTCCAACCCTTGAATCTGTGGTCCTCTTGGCTTTGTGGTCCTTTTGGCTCAGCCCCAAGTTGTTGGAATTATAGTCCTGTGCACACAACTGGACATAGGCTTTAAATACCCTAATGCATATGTGTGGACTATTCCTTTACACCGTGTGAATATATGTCACTGTGATTGGTTTAATAAAGAAGTTGATAGCTAGGCAGGATTTTTGGGGCAGAGAAAATTCTGGGAAGAAGAAGGGCGGAATAAGAGGAATCGCCAGCCAGAGATGGCGAGGGAAACAGGAGGTACAAGATGAAAGAGAAGTAACATCATATAGCAGAATGTAGATTAATAGACATGGGCTAATTTAAGTTGTAAGAGCTAATTAGTAATAAGCTTGAGCTATCAGCTGAGCATTTATAATTAATAATATCTCATTGTGTGGTTATTTGGGAATGACTTCTGGGACACAGAAAAACTCCACCTATGCAGATTCATAGGATGGAGTTGGCTAGGTTCTATTATAACTATGCTTAGTGTGCTAAGGGTTATCAAGTAATCTTTCCCAAGGTTCTCTACATCTTCCTTGCCAATATTTGATGTCTTTTTTAAAAAGTTTTTTTTCTTGTTTTTAACCATGTGTATATGTGTGTGTGTGTCAGTTTGTGGGTGTGTGCATATATATGTGAGCACCCCCAGGGGCCTGAAGAGGGCGCTGATTCCCCCGGAGCTGGAATACAGGTTGGTGTGAGCCATTTGATGTGAATGCTGAGAGTTGATTCTCTGCCAGAGTGAGCAGTTTATGCTCTTGACTACAAGTAATCTCTATCTCTCCAGAATTTTTGAAAATCGAGACAGCAAGGTGGAAATGAAGCGATAACACACGAGTTCTTATTTGCACTAATATTAAGGATCTTTGCATGTGCTCAATTGGCCATTTATATATCTTCTTCAGAGAAAGATTTATTCAAATAATTTGCTAATTTTCATAATGGCTATATGCCTTTTTATTATTGGGTTGTAAGAATTCTTTACATATTTTGGATACAATTTTCTTATCAAGTATACGTGTTGTATTTTCTCCCAGGCCGTGTGTGGGTTGTCCTTTTCTTTCACATTCCTGATGGTAGGGTTTCAACAAGACTTTTAAATCTTGATGAAGTTCAATTTGTCCAACTTTTCTTCATTTTATGTAAGTTTCTATAGACTTTTAAATGTTTCTCTCTATTGATGTAAGGTGAGTACATGAAGCTTTGAAGTAATTGCTAAGCTTTGGTTGCAGAAACACTTGACAGTCAACATCTTTACTAAGTTTCTTGGCTGCTAAGCTGAGGATGTGTTGATCCAGGTCAGCTTCAGTTTAAGTATCAGTCCAAACAGTACAAGTGAATCATGTGTGGAAGGAAATGGGTCCTCTGGGAATTCCCATGTAAACAGTGAAACATGCAGTTGGGAATTATCTCCCTCCCTAGAATGTTACAGAGCACAGTTACGTTCACAAACAAGCGGGGGGTGGAGAGGAAGTGTTGCTTGGAGAACCACACTCAGTACAATATTGCCAACCTAATTACATGCTCTTCCTTCAGTCCCTAGGAGCCTAGGAGAAGGAACTGATTAGAATTGGAAGTGAGAAAATGTGACTTCCAAAAAATTAATACTATATGTTTGAAAATAGAAACCTACCCCTTCTCTCATGTCAGGTGGTTTTTTTTTTTAATTAGTAAAGTATTTCATTTTTTTAAGAATTTTTAAATTTTTTTTATTAATTTATAAAAATTTCCACTCCTCCCCTCCTCCCAATACCCTCCCACTCCCCCCAGTCCCTCTTCTTCTCCCTCTCCAGTCCTAAGAGCAGTCAGGGTTTCCTGCCCTGTGGGAAGTTCAAGTTCCTCCCCCCTCCCTCCAGGTCTAGGAAAGTGAGCATCCAAACAGACTAGGATCCCAAAAAGCCAGTACATGCAGATGAAACAAGTCCCAGTGTCGTTATCAATGGCTTCTCAGGCAGCCCCCATGTCAGCCACATTCAGAGAATCCGGTTTGATCACATGCTCGTTCAGTCCCAGTCCAGCTGGCCTTGGTGAGCTCTCATTAGATCAGTTCCCTTGTATCAGTGGGTGAACGCACCCCTTGCGGTCCTGACTTCCTTGTTCATGTTCCCCCTCTTTCTGCTCCTCATTTGGACCTTGGGGGCTCAGTCCAGTGCTACAATGTGGGTCTCTGTCTCAATCTCCATCCATTGTCAGATGAAGGTTCCCTCTGATCCTGCCTTCCTTGCTCACGTTCTCCCTCCTTCTGCTTCTCATTTGGATCAAGGGAGTTAAGTCCAGTGTTCCAATGTGTGTCTCTGTCTCTATCTCCATCCATCGCCAGATGAAGGTTCTATGGTGATATGCAAAATATTCATCAGTATGGTTATGGGCCAAGGCCAGTTCAGGCACCCTCTCCTCTGCTGCCCAGGGAACAATCTGGGGATCTCTCCTTGGACCTGGGAACTCCTCTAGAATCAAGTCTCTTGCAAACCCTAAAATGGCTCCCTTATTGTAATTCTGGGATTAATTTTGGGTTGTATGCACACTGGACAAGTACTCTACTACTGGGCTACATATACAACTATAAATATTTTTATGATTCCAAATACAGAATATAAATCTTGACAAATAATTTACAGGTCTAACAAATATTTTCTAGCTCTTTCCACAATGGTAAAATCTGAGGAAAGTGGTAAGAGTTAAATTTCTTCAAACACGTAAGTTTGAAAATATGGAGGAGCAGTTTCCCTGTGAAGTGGATGTTAGTTGGGCAGAAGGCCCTCGACCTTTACCTGCCATTTCAAAAATGTTTAAGCATCTTTAAAGACAGAATGTATACGATATTTCACAAGTAAGTATGCATTGATCAGGACTTGGTTTCATTTGATAGCTAGTGCCCTTAGTTCCATAATCCCTGGGTCATTATGTGAAACTATACACTAAAATTACATAATGCTTCAAACACATCTATGGATCTTAAACCAGTGACTCACCTTGGCTGCACAAATAGTTTCTGTCATTACGTACTCGATTGCTCTCCCAAGTGACTTGGTTCTCTGATGACTTTTCCTTTTACCAACATGAACTTCCATTGACCAACACTTCAGGATGGCCAGGCCTAGGCCTCATGTTCATAATCCCAGCACAAAGAAACAGACAAAAGGATCATTAGGGTTAGGAGTCAGATCCCAGCCGGGGCTACATAGTATGTTTCAGGATAGCCTGGGGTATGAACTAAGACTATGCCTCAAATCAAACCAAACTCCTTAAAATAATTTACATCTATGGTTTCCAAAGCTGTGTATTTTTTCTAGAAGTAATGCTAGCTCTAAAGCATATGAAATGAAATGACCCTGAAAAAAAAATGGAATGAAAAGGGAAAAAAAACCAGACCAAACCAAACAAAACCATTTCCTGTTGAAAACGGCCATTATTACACTTATTATGTAATTAATTATGTAATATTACATTATTACATTATTTAATCACTTGAAACCTCATGGAAAATACAGTGAAATTAATCGAACTTGAGAAAGAAGAAGTGAAGAAACCAAGAACAGGTGAGAACCAGATTTCTAAACCAGATGGTCTGCCAGGGGATGGAATCTGCCTTAGCCAATCTGAGAGGCAAGGGCCTCAGCCTCCTGGAAGGTTGGGAAGACTCAGACTGACACCAGAAAAGCCTGCATTGGCTCAGGAGTTCAGATGGCTGGGTGCAGACTCACAGGAGGGAAGTCGATAATTTGAAATGAAGCCCCCACCACCTCATGTATTCCTCCACTGGTGTCCACCCACAGAAAACAAATCCACTCCTTCCCCAGCAGAAGACACAAAATTTGGAACCGTGGAGACTCTGATCCCTCTTAGAGAGATCTCTCCCAAAAGCTTAGATGGAAAACCGACTCGTTGAAGCAGACCTCAGCAGTAGCTACCCTTGGAACCCATTCCTACCGCACATCACAGTCTGGCTCAGGTCCCATCACATTAGGACTCCAGCAGAAGCTTTTGGGTTCCTTTTAGCTGCAGAAATACCCATTCACATGTCCCTGGTTCTATAACTATTGCTCCTGAGAGTCACTGCTAAAATGTCATGGGCACGGGAGGCCCACTCACAAACAGATTCCACCCTGGTATGCAGAAGCTCCTAGGAGCCTCTAGCACCGCCATCTTAAATATGAAGAGACAGGATCATCAGAAATTTGAAGCACATTTTTATTATGAAGAACAAAAGTGAAAACAACAAAAGGAAGTCAGAAGAGACTGTGACAACTCAAAGAAGAGGAAGACTGCAAAAACAAGGGAAGACAGTGCGTCCACAGCAGACTCCAAGTATAGATCGCAAACGAGAGCAAGCTTGAGAAACCAAAATGTAATATAGAACAGAGAAATGACATAGGCCTCAGAAAATAAACTGGAGAAAGGTCGCAATAACAGTAAGGAAGAAGTCAATGAGACAGGAAATCAAAAGAAAAGTAGTTTTATTCATCTGTCCACGCATTCAATGTCCTCACTGGCACGGGTATTTAGTAGGCAACAGTAAGCCAGCCGTTCCCCGCCTTTGAGAACTTCACATACTAATTGTGGAAATCAGAAGATAAACACAATAAATGAGCAGGTGACATTGTAAGTAGCGAAGGCTAATCAATGCTTTGTTCAAAAGCAGGGACACAGAACAGAGGGGAGGGACAGAGGGTGAGGACAGGGCTTGGGGTCTTTCTCCATTTTCAATAGGGATTGAGACTGCGCTGTAAACAAAGTTTGCGTAAAGACTTGGAGATGACAGCTAGAATCTGCATTCTAACAACACCCAAGTAAAATGTTTTTAAAAAAAATCCAAATAATAAAAGGTAATTTAAGTACCCCAAAAGTTATATCCTGAAATTCTTACCCTCTATGTAGAGGCTTCAGGTATTTGTCGGACCCTGGGAGCAGAGCCCTGATAAACAGGATTAGCACCCTGTTGAAGGAGGCCTAGGAAAAACCTCTTGACCCTTCAAGCGGGTGAGGCTACAATGAGAATACAGTTGTCTGTGAGAGAACAGACAGGACTCCCAGGCCCCCAGAACTGTGACAAATAAATTTCAGTTGTTTATAGAATAATAGAAAGGTAAAGCCAATGAGGTGGATTTCCTTTCCTGAACCCAGAGCAGCGCCTCATCTTTGTTGGGCGTCATTTGTTTTCGAGGCTCTTCCCACTCATTTGCAGGTTCAGAGAGCTACAAGAGGCTCATTTAGTTTCCACGGCACTAAATGAGCAGGACTGGTCTTTGGTGTGTATGAGACACGGGTCAGCTGTGCTGTATTCAAGGCTTTAATTCTCAGATTCTAATGTATGTCTGATTCAGAGTCCAGCTAAGCAAACTGTTACTCTCCTCTCAGCTGGCTACATGCTGCTGGTCCTTGTGTTGTACTTTGATTACTGTGGACCTAGAGCTGCAGTTCTCAATCTGTGGGTGGAGACCCCTTTGGGGGTCGAATTACTCTTTCACGGGATTCACCTAAGACTATTGGAAAATACAGGTATTTATATTATGATTCATAACAGTAACGAAGTTACAGTTGTGAGGTAGTAATGAAAATAATTTTATGGTTGGTGATTGCCACAACATGAAGAACTGTATTAAAGGGTCGCAGCATTAGGAAGGTTGAGAACCACTTTTTAAGATGATAATAAAATACCAGAAATCTTGTGTGAAGATAGCCCTACACAGTTTCTGGGGCAGATTTAGGTTTAGCAAGCAATTTCCTCACCTGAAAACCAAAAGGAGTAGTATTGGAACAGCACTAAGGGTTTTTAAATTTATCTTTATGTATGGTGCACGTGTCATGAGTTCACAAGTGTGTACGTGTGAAAACCAGAGCCCAGTATCAGATGTCTCCTTTTGTTGCTCTCCATGTCCTCGCCCCCACCTCCTTTTTGAGTCAGGGTCTCTCCTTGAACCTAGAGGTCACCGAGTTCAGTGAGACTGGCCACCACGTCTGAGGGACCCTTCTGTTTTCACCTGCCCAGGGCTTGGCTTTTTATGTGGGTGCTCAGATCTGAATTTGGGTTTCCAAGCTTACACAGCAAGTACTCTGCCCACTGAGTCACCTTCTCAGCCCTAGGACTGAAGACATCTTAGCACAGAAACCTGACCTTCTCTTAGAGACCAGTCTGAGCTGACCAGAGACCACCAAACTAGAGAACCTGCCTGAGGCAGACACTCGTGTTAGGCAGAAAGGGTGGCATGGGGTTCTCACACTGTCCAATTTATCATGCAATGCAAAATAAGAATTTTATGTGAAATTCTCTGATTTCTAAATGTTTTCAATTAAAAATTTCTCTCAAATGCTCTTCGAGCTACACAAAACAAGCCTGCAGGCCAGATGTAACTTCAGAGTACTGATTCCCTCTCCCTGGTCCAATATTTTGCCAGAGCTTGAGAGAAACCTTTAAAAAAAGTCTAAATTCTGCTGTTAAGAAGAGTGTGGTGAGCTGGATGTGGTGAGGAACACCTTTCGTCCTAGCTCTTGGGAATCAGAAGCAGGAGGAACTCTGTGAATTCCAGGCCAGCCAGCCTATCTCCACAGGGGGAGAAAAAAAGAACAGGGTGGCCTTACCGATAGGGGAGATACCTGCACATGGTTTTGCATGAGATTACAAGTAGCATTGCAAACACAATGAGGAAAAGAGAAATGAACGCCACTTACAGGCGATATGAAATCAAACCCCAAGAAGACTTCTGATACTAGCTCAGATTGGAATTTTGTGTTTTGCTGAGACTGAGTCAGTTATTTTGTCTTCCAGGGTTGGCTAGTGCCAGGCACAAGCAACACTGTCATTCATGTGCTGTACTCCCTCTGATATTGAAGCCGGTAGCAGTGAGGTGTCCAGAAGCAAATCTGGCTTAAGAAGTAAATGACTGAAATACTAACCGCATCTATAGTTACACACCACAGGGAACACAGCTCTTGCATAAAGAAAAAACTTTTCTTGAGCATTTCACAAGTTGGAACTCACTTCAGAACTTTGGAAATGAAGTCATGGAAGAGCATCGAATAAGTTGGTGGGATGGGGTCTCCCGAACAATAGTGTCCTGTAACTTGTGTATATATTGCCTTCTATGCAAAAGCGACTCTGTCGATCTGAATAAGTCAACTATTTTCAGGTGGGGAGATTGTTCTGAATTACTGGAGTGGGTAGAAGCCACGACAAGAGTCCTTATAAGGGAGCCGTAAGAAGGTCAGGGTCCCAGAAGAAGAGACTGGCTGTTGGGAGCATTAGCCAAGGAAAGCAGACAACAGCAAGGAAATCGTTTCTGCTTGGACTTCTATAAAGGACAAAAGCCTTCTGACATCTTGATTTTAGCCTACTGGGTCTGACATGGATCCCTGACTTATAGAAGCATAGAATAATAAATTTGTTTTCAACCATTCAGTTACGAGAGCAATAGGAGACTGGTACGGGGGCGAAGACATGAAAGAGCCTGCATAATATGAGGTCTTCAGAGCGCTGAGCCTCTGGGGCGCCCAGCGTCTGGGGAAGTGACTTGCTACCAACAACACCATGCCACTCGCTGGTGTGACTCTTTTACACCTAAAATGATTTCTTTGGGGGCTGAGGATGTAGCTTAGTGGTACGGCACTTGTCTGGTATGAATGAAGGCTCGGTTTAATCCCCAGCACCATAAAAGATTTATCCTGATGCATTATTTATTGGCTAGTGTACAAACCAGGAGTGACACTTTTATTTTCCTTACATGTAATGGAATTATGGATCGAATGATATAGCAAATGTAGGACGACTGGTAAAGTGTCCAAACCAGAAATGCTTCACTAAACGTTATTTTTTTTTATTGTTTGTTTTTCTGCTGAGGTTTTGAGATGGGGCCTTACTGTTTATCCCCAGCCAGTCTGGAACTTACAGCAATTCTTATGCCTCAAGTTCATGAGTAGTGTGGGATTAGAGCAACCACAACTGGTTTCCATGTTAGTTTCTCATGCTTGCCTGTTATGGTTTGAATATGACTATCTCACGGAGGCTTAAGTGTCGAATGCTCGGTCCACAGCTGGTAGTTCTGCTTTGGAAAGCAGTAAAAAGTTTGAGAGATGTGAGGC